GGTAATTTTGAAAGACTAAATGAATTAATGCTTACAAAACACTTAGAACAGTACCTGGAAAAAAAGCAAGTCCTCATTATTCTTTTTTGGTGGTCGTGGTAGTTGTGATGAATAAATTTCACACCAATGACAAAAGTCTCTTATCTGGTCATTATAGTAGACTAGACTCCTAAAAAAGACATACAGTATGTTCTGTTTATTTTTAAATCTCTACCTCAGGGCATGGTGTCTGGCACATAGTGGTCATTCAATAAATGTTTCTTGAATGCATATGAAAAATAATATGAATATGAGTTCACATCTGGACTCTGCCATTCACTAGAGTGAGATTTAACTTTTCATTTTCATACACATGAAATAATGGTGATTACAACTCCTACTTTTTAAGATTGCTTTAAGAATTAAATTATTATATATAAGTAAAGCCTTTACAGCAAGATCTGGCACATGGCAAACAAGTAATAAATGTTAGATAATATTATTTGTAAAAATGTCCCAAGGGGGCTGGAGGAGTGGCTCAAGTGGTAGAACTTGCCTAGTAAGCTCAAGGTCCTGAGTTCAAACCCCAGTACCACCAAAAAGGAAAGATAAGAATGTCCTAGGGTAATTATTATAAAGTATAAAAAACTTGTAAGAGCAACTTATATCTCTGAGTTCTTGACCCCATAGTGTGTTTACTAGTTATATGGATTTGGACATGTTAACCTCTAAGCCCTGAGTCTTGTTCTCTAGAATAAAATGTAATATTCAAACAATACTTTTCCCTTTCCCAGATGTGTTTCTCTCTCTCTCTCTCTCTCTCTCTCTCTCTCTCTCTCTCTCTCTCTGTGTGTGTGTGTGTGTGTGTGTGTGTGTTTCTAACAGTCCTGGAGATCAAACCCAGGGCCTTGTGCATTTACATGCTAAGCAAGCACTCCACTACTGAGGTATATTCCCAACCCTTAGGAAGAAGGCTTTAAGAGAAAAAAAAATGTCACTAAGAATTAGTTAAACAGCTAACTGTAGCGCTTAAAGGAAAATCAACAATTTTAAGTATGACTTCTGCTCTACAAATACAAGCATTACTGAACATGAATCTTGATTTTCATTGGCAAAGCTGAAAGAGCCTTAAACAACAGCAAAGGCTTAGTTAGCAAAGGTAAAATCATCAGTTCATTTTCTTTGAGATGATTTTCATAATAACAAAATGTAGTATGTTCGACTCTATCAGTATTGTAAGAGAAGACAAGAGTACTATTTGTAAAAGGAATGGAAAAGAAAAAAATAGATCCTAAAAAGGCTAATGCTGCTATTTTGCTCTAAATGTTATCAGTTTTATTATTAGAATTTTATCATTTTTTCCACTTATTCCAAAGAAAAAATATGTATCTTGCCAAAAGTTTTGCACTTAGCTCAAAGTCACTTTCTCTGAAACTGCTGTTCTTAATTATTTCAATATTCACAAAGATGGCCCTTTCAATAACCTGAACCCTCAGTTCTCTGACTTTCTTTCCTAAAATAATCTTGTTTGCTACTTCAACTACCCACCATGATAACTTAGACCTAATCTTTACCATAACTGCAGTTCCTCTATCTGACTACTACCTTCTGTCTTTTAAATTCATTTTTTCCAGTATTCTAGTTCCTTTAATTTTTCAAATTCACTAGGACTGTCAATACATTGGACCTCAAACCCTAACATCCTCACTACCCAGTAAGTGAGAATAGGAAATAACCTATACTCACAATTACTTTACACGTCTCCCTGAATTTTTAACATTTCCTCCCTCTCTTCGAATAGCTGTAATTCTGTCTATGGTTACACCAATCTAAATGCACCCTATAATTCCTATTTTATTGAAATATAGGAGCAAGAAGGACAAAAAGCTCCATGGTCTTCCTTCATCACATCTGCCATGCAATGAACTCATGGACTTTTAACTTTACTACCATTGTGAGGATCTTCTCCTCGGAAATTTATGCATACATTCTTAAAAACTTGTATTTAACTACAATGGATTCTCAGAGCCACTTTAAATTTATCCAGGGACTCCAAGGCGAGAGTCATGAATCTAAAGAACTAAAGATTGACTGGTATGTTGTTTTATTTATTCTCATAGCTAGGGGGAGATCTTGAGGAAAGAAGGAACCTTGGGAAATGTTTGAGTTATTTCATCTGAAAATGCAGCAAAAGTTTGTGGAATGGTGCCTAGTTGATAGATACTTTTTTGAAATTTTGCCATTTGCAGGTAAATGGCTGAAACTGGAGAACATAACCTTAAGTGAAGTTAACCAGGTTCATAAAGCCAAAAAGACTGCATGTTTTCTCTCATATGTGGAATACAGGCCCAAAACAAATACAAGCAATATGAAAAACAGGTCATGCTAAATGGAGGTCACTAATGGGAGGAGGAGGGTAAAAGAAGGAAGTTAAGAAGGTGAATATGGTTGGTGCACTTTCTACACAAGAATGAATATAGAATTTTTAAACCTGTTGAAATCATCGTAAGAAGGGAACTAAGGTAGAAAGGAGAAAAAGAGAGGGGATGAACCAATTCAGGTTATAATACAAATATACATGGAAATGTCACAATGAAAGACTCTGTATAGGTTGCTTATACAAACAAAAATATCTTTTTTTCAAAAATGGAGAACAGGAAGGTAAGATAGGTCTGTCTGAGGGTTGGCAACAGTAGGAAGGGGGAGGATATAAGGAAAAGGGTGTAAGAGGGTGAATATGGTGAAAATATTATGTTCTCATGTACGAAAATGGAAAAATGAGGCCTATTGAAACTATTCCAGGAATGGGGGGAGGAAGGATGAAGGGGAATGATGGAGGGGGTAAATTCACCCATGGTATAGTGTAAGAACTTTTATAAATGTCGCAATGTACCTCCAGTACAACAATAATAAAAATGAATAAATAAATAAGTTTAAAAAAAGAAAAAGAAAATGCTACTCATTGCTTAATGCCTAGTTCAGATGCCTCTAGGGCATTTACCTCTCTACTCCCAAACACAGGAATTAGCCTTTTGAAAGAACTCTCATATCTTTCTTTCTGTACTTTATTATTTCCTGCTGGTATTACAATTACCCTTTATTTTTCGTGCTGCTTTGTAAGTTCTGTGGTGGATGTCCATGTATTGCTCATCCTATGATCCTCTCAATTCCTTGTATTACTTCGTGAGTAATGTGTGAAAAAAAAAAGATAATTTTTGAGAGATGATTCCATTTGTACTACTAGGCAAAATTTAGATAAAAGACTGTTTGGCATACAAAATTACCATGTAGATTTGGTACAGGGAAAAAGAAATCTGTACCAAAGAAAGCACTGTCAGCACTTTAATCGAATGAACAAACCTATCAATAGTATAACAAACTTGGTATTAAATACCACCTAATGTGATGAAATGTGAATTGTACACTATGACCAATGAAGTATCCTTGCCAAATATGTATAATCTGAAGTTCTCAAGCCTTTAGTAGCTTGCAGTTTATAGGAAATAGGAAATCTAGAGGCACAAAATAAAATTCAATTTGACAACTCAGAATTAGGGATTCTTCACAACAATTGGTTTGATCTCTTAAAGAAAAAAAAAAAAATTAGGCAGAAGGCCTGACACCAGTACCACATTTTGGCAGCAACTGGAGAAATCTAAGTATTGTCTAGATATTAAGTGACAGTAGAGAATAATTGTTCGTTTTCGTAGGTGTGCTAAAGGTCCTTATAAGGCAATGTTCTGTAGGAGATAGACAGGTCCTTTAAAGAAGTGTTTAGAAGTGAGGTGTTATGCTCAATTTGTAGTCCTGACAAAACACACATACAGATATGCACACACAAATAACTAAAACAAATAAAGACAAATATTTGAATATGGGTGATGAGTTTACAGGTGATTTTGTACTTTTGAGTTTAAGTGTTCACAATAAGAAATTGGAAAAAATAATTATGTATAGCAAATTCCTATCCATCTTCGTTTTTTACTGACTTATACTTACTGATCCTAGGAAAAATTGCAGTTTTCCCTTTTCAGAACTTTCCTGATACTTTTACTTTGAATGTAGCACTCCATTAACATTCTGCCTTGTATCTAGCCTGCATACATACATTAGTAGAGAGAGAGTACAATCATAGGCTATATCGAAATTAAGTAGTTAAGTTCGAAAGAGCTTCTGATGGTCTTTACTAGAGGAAAGAGAATGCTAAATTAGTGTAAACAAAAAAAAAGATTTTAGGAAGAGGTGACAAATGCCTAGATTACAATGGCAGCAGTGAAAGTGAAAGTCCTGAAAAATGTAAACATTTACAGTCCTGGCTTGTCTTTGCTTTTGAAACCCAAACTTGAATCCCCCAGCTACCACTTCACACACTCGGTCTAATCAGAAAACAAAGCGACTTGAAGTAGAAATCTTCAGAAAGATATTTGCTTCCAACATTTACTGGCTGAGGCCTGGGCTTTAGACGGCTTCATCTTGCAGCATGTCAAAGGACACATCGGCACACGTGGGTAACAAATCGTCTTGCAAATATTCACAAAGGTCGGATGCTTGGAAGAAATTCAAGTCCCCCTACTCGTTTAAATTGCTGAAACACACGCATTCCTTCTCTGCAGTCCAGCGTTTACACGTTCAAGGGATGTGTACTTCGAACCTCAAAGTGGAAACAGTTTCAAGTGCTCGTGACTCGGAGCAAAGGTCCCCGTGGGGCGAAGGGCACGCGCTTCCCCCAAGTCCTGCTCTCTCACCTAGATCCGGGTCCAGCTCCACGCCCCGCGGTTCCCCGCCCCGCCTCCGGCCCTCCCTACCCGGGATGGGCCTGAGCGCCCCCCGGGGTTCAAATGACCGAGATCATCCAGGCGTTTCAGGTCCCCGCCCTGGAGCTGAACCTGCCCCTGGCGTCAGCAGCGGACAGCGCCTCCCTCCCGCTCCTGACCTTGTACTTGGCTTCTCTCGGCCCCGCCCACGCCCCGCCCACGCCGGCGAGTGGGCGGGGCCAGAAGGTCTGCCCCCCCGCTGAGCCTAATAGACTTGACGTCTGCAGCCGGGAGGCTGAGTGTTGGATCCGCCAGTCAACATGGCAGCGGTGTTTAGGAGAAGCAGCGGGGTGAGAGGCAGCCCAGGGCCGCGGTGGGATGGGGCAGGGATGTCTTGTTGGGGAGGGGGCCAGAGCCGTGTAGAGAGGCGCCCCAGAGAGGAGAGAAGCCGAGCGGGGACCGCAGCCTGCTCCGTGCGCGGAGGCCCTCCTTCCCCGACCCCTGGACACCGTCCCGGGTTGGGATTCTCTCCGTGCTTTCGGGCCTCCGCAAGGGCAAATGCAGCCGCGTCTTCACTGCAGTCTTGTTTCTTTCTCGGGCGGGAACACCCAGAAATCTCACCCCTTCCCATCGTGAACCCGGCTTTGAGTTACGCTGGTGTCGGAACCGCCACCCTGTTTTTGCAGGACTGGTGTAGTAACTCCTCAAAAAAACTCTTTCCCATCTCGCCCTGTATCCACAGCCCGGGAAGGAATCATCAAAGTATGCGTCGTTATGGGACGATGTGTACTACCAAGGTGTCAGAATCCACATAGTCTAACGTGGTGCTTGCAGAATCACGGGAAGGGAAAACGGGGCGGCCACTCTCAAGCCATGTAGAATGTCTGATATGCCTGTGGTTTTGTAATATGGAGGAGCACCCTAGCGTTTAAAAAGAAAGAAAAACCTAGTGCCGATGTTTGTATCTGTCTTCTAGTTCTGCGTCTTACACATTTTAAATATGTTTCAGTCATTAGATACATTTTGGTATCTTAAATATTGATGTATTCATACAAGATTGCCTTTTAAAATGCCACCTAAAATTGAATTAAAGTTGTCTTTGACCAAAAAAAGCTACAATTTTAGAATTTATAGTAATTCTACTACTGTATTATTGCTCAACTTTTGCCATTGCTATGTAAGTAATGAGCTCTGAAGGCAGAAATTGGGTGATTTAAAAAATTATCTTTAACTCTGACGTCAGAAAAATGATTTCTCAGCCTTTCCAATGATGAATCTAAGAAAACATGATCAGAAAACGTATACTCCTCTAACCCCTCTTCGACCCTCTCATAAAAGTAAGACTCATAAGAAATTCGTGAAAGTTTTAATTGTAGTGGTACTGTTGCAGAATTGACACTTGATTAAAGTTGCTGTCTTCCAGTTTGGAATCTCATTGTTCTGGGTGAAGACCCATAGTAATAAAACCAATATTTTTATGGCTTTAAGCTTTGAAAGCACCTTGTTTTTATTGTACTGGATTATCCACCAAGATTAGCTCCCGAGGTTCCCAGGTGTGAATACAAACCATGATAAATTTTCAACCTGTCAGACATTACAAAGGACATACTCATGCAACTAGACCCACATTAAGCAATTGTAGCTTGAAGTCCTGTGCTGTTTCTTTATTCTATTTTTACTGAGTGACTTCTCTAAATGATTTCCATTATTAAATAGTTAGCAGGGTAATAGTCACTTCCCTCTAGGTGTAGTGACTTTGAACTTTGTTTTATGTGCCATGTTTTTCTGAAAAACAATCATGTGCAAACTGACTTTTTGTAAATTTTTTAAAATCCATTAAATAAGTCCCTCTTTAAATTCTCTCAGCAAACCACTTTACCTGATTTGTGAGAAATGGGTTTTGTGCCATGGTATTTATACACATTTGTAATAGAGTCAGGTTACTTGCTAAGGTTTTTGTGGAGTGTTTTTCTTCCTTATATAAGACCAGTTAGTAAACTAACTGGAAAAGCAGTGCAGCAAGTAACTGCTTACTGTAAATGTGAGAGTTAGAATCCTGATTACACTATCTTAGAGTGACTTTGGCTAATTTTAGCCAAGTTTTTTCCTAAGAAAAATAAAAATAGAGCCTTTATCTCAGGCTTGACCTGGAATCCACTGAATTAATACTTGCAATGTGAGTGTAAAGAAGATAGATTCAGTCTTTGAAGATTGCACTATGAAAACCAGGGAAACCATGTTTTACTTCAAGATAAAGTTAATAAAAGGTGCAAAGAAAATGTGAGTTTTCATATTTTTTTTCAAAATTGTAGTGTGCTGTATGTTATTTTGAAAGGGCTATTTAGGTTACATATTTGATATTCTAATTGTCACTTTAAATGTAGGTGATTGTCAATTGAAATTATCTTTTACCAAATGGACAATTTCTTTTTACATATTTTGAAAAAGATATGTTTGGTTCCAGAAACGTTAGATATTATTCAGCTTTTCTTTTTCTCTTCATACCTGTCTTGTGAAAATTACCTAGGGATAGTCCCACAAGAACCTTTCAACTGAGACTTGTGTAATTTTGGCTGTTCTCAAATATTTACTCAGAGGACCAGTGTGGTTTCCAGTTTGGTAACTTTAATAAATGCTAATGGTTACTTTTGAGATCATTAAATTATCAGGAATATAAAAATGGGTTATAATGGAATAATAGTTTTGTATGATTGCATTTTTATTTGTCCTTTTGAAGAAATATGAGTATGCTATTAAGATGTAATATATTGATAGAATAAGATTGGCAAACATTTTTTAAAGCAACAGATAATAAATCTGTGACTCAAGTTTCTGTGGCAACCAAATAGCTTTGCTGTGAAAGCAGCAATAGATGATATGGTGTGGCTGTGTTCCAGTAAAATTTCATTAACAAAACTGATGAATTCCATAGTTTGCTGACCCCTGGTTTGGAACATTGCAAAAATGCCTAGAGACTGCAGCAAAGAACATGGCTTTATGTTTTTTTTTTTTTAGTTAGAGTGAGGTATTTAGAAAATGGGATGGGATCTACCAAAGTGAAGAGTCCCATAGGCCCATCTGGGAAAATAATTGGAGCAGGGTATCAAAACTGATAGAAAAGGCAATTCTTGAAAGTAGTTCAGTTCCAACTCCCCAATCACTAGTGTCCTAGGAGCTTGTAGTTGAAATTTCCAGAATATCAATCCTAAGTCTTACCTACTATTTCAGTCTATTTTTTGTCCTGGTAACCCTCCATTTTGGTAGTGCAAATACAATTGATTAATTTTGTATTCATTACTTGTTTTTTCTTAACATTTCCCTTATGGATAGATGTTCACGTAGCTGATAATTGACTTGTTTAAATTATAATAAAAAACGCAGGAAAGTAATAATGACTTTAAAATAGATCTCTTGATCTGGCTGATGTGTTAGAGCATCTGTCTAGCAAGCAGGAAGCCCTGATAAACCCCAGTACTAACAAAAAAGTCTCTAGAGTATGGTTAACCAAATTGCTATACTCACTTATAATAGTCCATATTCTCTTATTTGATTGATATCTGTCACATTTGTTTTTAATAAAATTATCTTTTACAGATCCTGAGAAGTGCTTCTCTTCTTGAGTGGAGATCACAACATACAAAAGTTTCTCAGAAATATGAACCAGGATCAGGATTTAGTTTTGGTATACATTATGTTCTGTCTTTTGATTTTAAAATGTATTTGTTTGTATTATGTTTGTAAACTTGTTTTTGGTCATTCTGTAGAACCAGTCATTCCACCATCTACAAGTAACTCATAGTCACACTTATTCTTTCTAAGCTGATCATCTCCTTCAGTAGGCTACCCTGTACATTTGATTTGTTAGAAGACTGTGCATTCATACACTATATATGTATATATTTATTATATAACAGCATTATAACATTGTGTATCTATGCCTTCCTATTTTCCTAAGTAGCCCAAAATAAATAACAGATTTGCTGATAGTCTTCAATTTACAAATTTGAATGTAACAAATACTTATTAGATAGACAGTGCTAGGTGTCTGGTAATATTCTAAAGCCTGTTTTGGTGCTGCAAAAACTGAACTGCAGTTTTGGTGCTGTTATTTGAAGTTCTTAGACCTGTGACCAGAGTAGTCATGTGTTGAAGGGAAAAGGAATAAGGTTTTTCTTCCCTAGTTTTCACTTTATAAAGGATAGGATGCCCTATCTTTGGCATCCTTTGTCACCTAAAACTGCTTCAATTTTTTTAACCTTTCCTCTAAATTAAAAACATTTTCTCAGTTCACTTCTCTCAGAAAATAGTTATAAGGCAGCTGAGATAATTAATATATACCCAGGTGCAATTGACAACATAAAAGGTCTGGGGCTATTGTTATTGTTTCTGTTCAAGGTATTTTTCCCTTATTAAGATTTTTTGCCTAAATTAAGTGGAAGGTTTTCATGCAGTGTGAGGATAGCAGTTTGAGTCAGCAGGTCTTCAGAGGTATTAGTATTGATTTGGCTGACTGTTACCTAGTTTCAGCTTGCTACGTGCAAATTCATACTCAGTAGTAAGAAATTAGCAGGAAAAGTCTGTGACAGTTTGCTGAGTGACAGGATGAAACAGATGTAAGTATTTGGGAGTTGGTTTATGAAGCTCAAGTAAAGGAATACAGATAATACCTATATATGACCAGTTGTTCTGGTTCTTTATCAACAAAATGGGAAGAATGTCTATAACAGAATTTCTTTGAAGATTAGATTAGATTATATCCTATACATTAAGTTCCTAGCATATAGTGACCTGATAAAAGTAGTTTCTCAACTAATAATCCATGATAGAACCCTGTCTTTCCTACCCTTAACACGCCCACAATCTTGATAAGACTGGCTCTAACTTTTGAGGTAAAGTTGTGATGTAGAAAACACTACACTGAAATGCTATACTTCTGCTCATTCATGGTAAGGCTAGGGGGCTATCATTTCCTCTCTCTTTGCTTTAGTTTCCTTATCCAAAAAAAGAGAGATTTGATCTTACACTGTTCAATTCAGCACCAAAATCCTACTGTGTTTTACATTATCTTGTCCCCATACAAATGATTAGTATACTCATAAACATCCTTGTTCATTCTTCTGTGCTTTTGCCTAAAATACTCTATATATTTCTTTGAAATCATAACTATCTTTTAGTGCTGGGGGAGGGGGACGTTGCTTTTAAGTGGTAGAGTGCTTGTCTAGCAAGCGCGAGGACCTGAGTTCAAATCCTAGTATGCCCAAAACAAAACAAAATAAAACTTACCTATGTTTTGACATTGGATGCAACCACATAAAACATTAGATAATAAAATGCAACTAGCAATCTGCTCTTACCCTTTCCTTATTCCAGGCACCATTTTCATTTCATTAATTTGACAATAACAGCTCCTTAATATTATGTAAATGCATTGTTTGGAGATTATTTGTTAGCAATACAGCAGTATGTTGTTTACTGTCTTTTGAGAAAATTTCCCATCTCTTTTACCAGTTTCTTTGTTAAATTTGTCTGAGTTTAAAGGAGGAATGAAGTTGAAATTATGGCATTGATATTCATATATAATTCTCTGAAACAAGTTGATGGGGTTATGGTCACCTACTGTGTCTCATTTTCCTTAAACTGATTTTTGGGATCAGGAACATGCCTTATGTATTAGTTTTGCTTGAGTGTTAGTGAATACTGGTTATATCTGCTTAGGAACTAAAAATAAATTTTAAAATTCATGTTTGTTACATCATCACTTAGAAAAGAAAAACTTACTTAAGCTCTACCAGTTTGTGTTTATTACTTGTTTGTAAAAATCAGAAATCTTACCTATTTCCTTCAGCATTTGTATTGACAGATTTATTTATGTACAAAAAAATTTTGACTAGTCAGAAAATTTACCGTAGTCTTTTGCTTTCTGATTTATTAAAGGTTACCTTAGCCATTATAAATATAAATTTCCACATACCAACTACCTTAGGCTTTTTCCCTCTACTTACTGTCCTATTTTAATGTTTTCTAAATAATTTTCCCTTAGAGTTCACTGAACAGCAGAAAGAATTTCAAGCTACTGCTCGAAAATTTGCCAGAGAAGAAATACTTCCAGTTGCTTCACAATATGACAAAACTGGTGAAGTAGGTATACACATTTTAAGAAGAGAAAGTTTGTACATTTTTATAAGATCATATAATCAGACTATCTAGATGGTAATTATATATATGTTTTTTCTTTCTTTCATTTTCTTTTTCTTTTAGTATCCTTTCCCAATAATTAAAAGAGCCTGGGAACTTGGTTTAATCAATACACATATTCCAGAGAGTTGTGGTAAGCTTTCTTTACATTTTTAATCCTAGAATGGATCTGAATCAGAAAACTTGTGAAACTCATTCTTTTAAATATTTGTTGACATTAAATGACTTTCTACCTTTGTTTTCCTCTTTAGACTCTGGTACTTGCCTGCTTTAAAAAAACAAAAAAACAAAAAAAACAAAACCATGTACTCAACATGTAGGGGCATTTTTTCCCATTTCTAACTGGCTCCAATCAATATTTAAGATAGTTCACTTTTATTTATTTTTTTTGAGATGTACTACATGTTATAATGGACTTGTAAAACATTTTGATACCATAGGAGGTCTCGGACTTAAAACTTTTGATTCTTGTTTAATTACTGAAGAACTGGCTTATGGATGTACCGGGGTTCAGACTGCTATTGAAGGAAATTCTTTGGGGGTAAGTTACTTAGAAAATTAACTGCCTAACTTAGCTGTTAATCAGACAGCTAAATTAGGTTAATATATAAAACACGGTTTGTTTGTTTTTTAAATAAAGAAACAAGATTTAGCAGTGAATTCCGGGGTCAAGATTCCAAGGCTTGATCACTGCGGTCCTGTTGTCTCCAGTTCTCAAAGTCCTAGCTGTCCTTCAGAGAAACTGTATATTTCTGCCACAATTTTCCAGTGATTCTTAGCTAGGAGCAGGGACTTAAGCCAGCATTCTGGCACATTATGGAACTTCTTGGGTTGGAGTGCTATACTATTTACAATGCTGAAATTTAATAAGCAGTTCTCAGGAGGCCTACTCATATAAAACAGCTCATGGATCCAAAATATAATCCTTTATTTGGGCATCTTAACTAGAGTAGATTTTTATATATTACCAACAAGTCCTACATGTTACTTAATTTTATGGAAATACTTAGATTAGGTGATGTATTTCCTCATTTTAACTTTTTAACTTAAAGGCAGAGTGTTAGTACTTTGAACTTACCCCATGGGGGGGTAGGGAATAGTTCTTTTGTTTTGAATTATAGTCTCTCTGATATACATATTTAATAAAAAAAAAAAAGATCTTGCTTTTAAATGTTGGTTTTCTTTGACAGCAAATGCCTGTTATTATTGCTGGAAATGATCAACAACAAAAGAAATATCTGGGGAGAATGACTGAAGAGCCATTGATGTGTGTACGTATAGCTGCTGCTTTATTTCACATTTCACATTTAAGAAGGGCTAAAGAAGTGCAGTTTCTGCTTTTCAATCTTTATGTATATGCTGAGCTATATCACATTAAGACAAAAGTTAGCAACATATTTAGGCACAGTAGTGTTCTAGGATGTCAAGAAAGTGTCATAATGATCCCTATGGCTTACTTTCAGGAGAGTGATATCTACTTGATGGAGGAATGTCTACTTAATACCTGCAGTTCAAGAACTGAGTGACTCTTCTAAGAAAGATTGAATGTAGAGTAGTAAGTGTTTGAACCCAGTAGTCTTTTGAATTAGTAAGAAATTAATGAAAACAAGAGACTGAAGAGATATTAGCTTACTTGTTGAATAGCTAGCTGCCTCAGGGAGCATATTTATAGTTTTGAGAGCAATTTAACAAATTTTAAATTGTATCTTTTAAAAAAGATATTAATAGGTATTTACTGAGGTTCTGTTCTGAAACTATTAAGGATTTTTATTTGATTATTGAGCAAATTTCAATGTGGGTATGATTATGATACTGAAATATAGCAGATTATTACTAACTTTAAACTAATCATGAGAATTTGTCTAAAAGAGTAGAAGTAATATTTAAAAATAATTTTTTAATTTATTTAACATAACTAAATATCAGGAAAAGTGCTTAATAAAGACATTAATGCATATTTCATAGGTAATTGGTAATTATTTTTTCAACAAGTGAGAGTTAGGTTAAACATTCCCAATATTGTTTAAGAACTTTGTAAAGCTTTTGGGTAATTCCATAGTATATAGAGTGACAGAAATGGAGATGCTTAATAAAACCTAACAATGCATTGACAAGAATATTTGTGATTATATTAGATACAATTAGGTATTTCTGAAATTTTTGCGAGTCTTTAAATGGGATTAATATTTTAAACATTTCTTTGGCAGTTTTGTCTGTTACCAATTCCTCCAATTATATGTAAAAGTACATTTACTATAGCTTATAAGTTATCATAATTTCTGGATTGATCAGTGTACTTTTTCCCTTTCTAGTACATGATAACAATAGTAAAAAAATAAAGCTAATGGTGAAAATGGAATTATCAATAGGTGTCTGAATTATAAGCTTTGATTAATTTATACTGAGATTCAGTTATTTAAATCTCAGTAAATATTTTATAACTTTTTTATTAGAAAATATTCAGTATAGGATTGAAGAGTTGGCTTAAATGATAGAGTGCCTGCCTAGCAAGCATAAGGCCCGAAGTTTCAACTCCCCCCCAAAAAAAAGACAAAAACAACCAACCAAAAGAAAAAAAAATTTAGCATAGAAAATTTAGGAATGTATAAAGAAGAGCAAAAACATCGGTAATCCTTCAGATATGAAGTTAACTGGGACTACTGTTTTATATTCCCTACCAGATTTTTAAATACATAAGTGTTTTAACAGTTAAGCTCATATACATGCAGTTTTGTATCCTTATTTATTTAATTGGAGCATTTTCTTATGCTTTACTTCTTTTTAAATGTTATGAAATTTATTATTGTATAATGTGCTATTCTAATGCATATACTAGAAATTCACTATTCTATTTAAACTTAGCTTTTTGCTTTTAAAAATAATGTCCTGAGCAGGATGCCAGTGGCTCATCTCTGTAATCCTAGCTACTTGAGAGGCAGAGATCCAGAGAATCCAGGCTAGCCCAAGGCAAAAAATTCCTGAGACTTCTTCTCAACCAATAGCTGGGCATGGTGATATGCCTGTCATCCCAGCTACTGTGGAAATATACATAGAAGGATCCTGGGCCTGGGTGAGCAAAAAGCAAGACCATATCTCAAAAATAACCAAAGCAAAAAGGGCTGAAGGCATGCCTCAAGTGGTAGAGCACCAGTATAGCAAGTGTGAAGCCCTCAGTTCAAACCCCCATATCACCAAAAAAAAAAAAACCACAAGTAATAATAATGTCATGGTAAACACTGACACATAAAAAAATGAATGCAGGTTTTTTAATTTTAACTTTACAGGTACAGATATATTTGTTATTTTGTAGTCATTACACTTACATGATCATGTGATCAGATACACTCCAGCTGAAGAAGTGTACAGAGATAAATAATGGCAACAGTGTAATTTTTAGATAGTATTTACTGCAAACATTTCTTCAAGTCAAAATTAATACATTTGTATTATGTATGATAGTGGAGTTAAAGATTAGATAGATAGATAAGAGATAGATAAGATTGGATAAATCTTTTAAGTAGCATACACCTAAAATAAATGTAGTGTTAGACAATTAGGCCAAGTGTAGGCTGACATACTTGCCATGGGGATTCAGTAAAACTCATTTGTGTTGACATAGTCTTAGAATCTAGAAGTCTGTGTAAAACATCCTAATGATAAAGAAACTCTGGTCATGAAACCATGCATTTCCCAAGGAGCTAAGAAATAGCTGTAGTGTGACTGAAGTGATCTTGTATAGTCATTTAATCTCAGTGTCTCTACTAAAATGGAGAGTATAACAGCTGAAAGGGTTACAGTAAAGATAAAAGAAGATAGTTATGTTTTTATTGGAATATCTTCCCTGAGTACCTGCTTTGCAAAAAGATCTTAGAGAAATATCTTTCCTACTTAATGATCAAGGGAAACTGTTTCTCTGACAACTGTGAGTCATCCTGTTTGTAGACTTCACTTAGGGAAAGGTCACACTTATAGCTAACGCTGTTGTTTGTTTTGGTAAGTGGGAAGTCTGTAGACAGTTTTACAGTTGACAGTTAGCATCTGTTTGAACCTCAGAGCATGTGCTGTTGTGTAGTGTTTTTCTTCCTGCTTTTACTCTATTTTCTCTTCTCTTTTAAACACGTCAACAGCGTTAATCCCCTTTAGAGTGTAAGAAGCCTACTCTCCAATTAAAACAAATTAAACTGAATAAATGCAAAAATTGCTTTGAAAGGTGATGGTATTATTGCTAATAAAGAAAAGTACAATGCTGTACTTATTCAAATATTGAAGTACCGTGATAGGTGGACTGAGAATAAAAGAGAGAATAAGACTGGGCCCCTGCTCACAAGAAATTAAGAATCTGGTAGACTTTTATAGCCTTACCCAGAATCTGTCAATTATTATACAGAAAATCATGTGTAATAATAAATAATTATACATACTGCAGTATTATTGATTTGATTTCCTTGGTTTTCTAATTTGCATGGCAACAGTTAGGTGTTGGAAGTCAAACTAGTTTGTGCCAAGGTGCAGATTTTATGGACATTTATTATTTTATTAAGTGCTCAGTATTAGGTACTTCTGATACAAATGGAATAAATACTATTCCTGCTTTCAAGAAATTCTTGATATTGTTGGACAAGGTGATTCATGCCTATAATCCTAGCATGCAGGAGGATGAGAAAGGAGGATTGTGAGTTTGAGGCCAGCCTGGGCTACATAGCTAAACCCTGTCTCAAAAAACAACCAATTGACCAACCAAACTCTGATACAGTATAAAAGAAACACATGAACAACTTAATAACCTGTTTAATATTATAAAATATTGAATATTAGTGGTAAAGAAGGGAATAAGTTGCAATGAAAAAAGGGGATTCTGCTAACAATGGGCTAGAAAAATTAAACTACTAAAACATGATCAAATAAGAACAACTCTGAAAAACCAACAATGACAAGCCTTATTTATTTTTTTAGTGGTATTGGGGATGAATTCAGGGCCTCATTCTTACTAGGCAGATGCTCTACCACTTGAGCCACTATGCCAACTCTTTTTGCATGCTTATTTTATGTCCTGGTTGGCTTGGACTTCCATCCTCCTATTTGTGCTTCCCTGCACAATGACAGGTGCACACCACTGGATAGAGCTATTGGTTGAGATGGGGGTCTTATGAACGTTTTGCCTAGCAACCTGTTATCCTGGGGATCACAGGCTCCCAAGTAGCTGGGTTTACATGTGTAAGCAACTACAACTGGCAACAAGCCATTTTTATTAGGAAAAAACCCAGGTTTGTACACTTTATAAGTTCTTTTAAAAATATTTGCATTAATGTAAAACAGAGAAATGTCTAATTGCATGTTTATGAAAAGAAATTCCTAAAGATGGTAAAAACAAAATTTGGGAGTTAGGGGTGTGGCTTAAGTGGTGAAGCACTTGCTTAGTAAGCATGATGCCCTGAGTTCAAAGTGCCAAAAACAAAACAAAACAAAAAACTTTTTGATACTTAAAAAGACTCTCATCTTTTCCAAATAGCTCATTTGTATAAAACTTTATTTTGTTATGATACAAATACATCATTGAGTCTCCAGGTTGGAGAGTAATCTAGTTTAGTTAGCTCACATAACAACTGAATATCCTCTGTAACATCCCTGACAAAAGGCTATCTAGGGCCAGGCATGGTGGTGTATACCTGTAATCCCAGCTACACAGGAGGTTCAGGTAGTAGGATCATGGTTCCAGGGCAGCCCAGGCAAAAAAGTTAGTTTGACCCTATCTCAAAAAATAAGTTGGGGCACTGGGCACAGTGGATCATACCTGTAGTCCCAGCTGCTCAGGATGTGGATATAGGAAGGTAGTTTGAAGGCCAGCCTGGGCAAAAAGTTAGTAGGACCCCATCTCAACAAATAAGCCAGGGATGGTGGCTCCCAAATTCTCGCTATTTGGGAGCTGTAGGTAGAATCACAGTTGAAGGTCCACTGCAGACAGAAACACAAGAGCGTATCCAAAACATAAAGGGAAAAAAAGGGTGTCAGGGCATGGCTCAAGTGGTAGAGTACCTGCCTACTAGTGTGAGGCCCTGAGTTCAAATCCTAGTACTGCCAAAAAAAAAAAAAAGCCTTCTAGTCATGTTTCCATACTGTAGGTGCCTTGGAGTCAAGACCTTCTGAGGTAGCTCTATTTGAGGCCATCACTGACCATGAGAAAGCTCTTGTAGACTACATGGCAGCAAGGGATAGTCTTTGTCATTTCTTTTTATAACTTTATTGTCACATGCTACAATGGGTGTTCAATAAATGTTTGAATGACTTAATGTAGTTTATCCATTCAGATGATCTCCCTTGGCTACCGTCCTTCAGATATTTGAATATAGTTTTTATTAAAATATCACCCAAAGTGGGTTGTTGCTGTTATTATTACCTCTTATACCCTTATTTCAAACTTCTGTAATAAGCTAAAATGAAAATCCAAATGTGTCACTCCTACATTCACAAAAACGTTCTATGATTCCATTAAGCAGTGGTGCTTAATGTATTTTTTAATTTGTGAATCCATGTTCAGATCTAACTTCCTCAGGAAGATGCAGATGCCATTTACTTTTGTACGCTAGGGTGTTCTTCATTCCCCCGCAGCCCTACTACATGATTTAGATCCTGTGGCACAATAGTTAACAGTCAGTAAACTTTTGTTGAATGCATAAAAGTATACTCTCCTTAGCTTGGCATGTTCCTTAGCCTCCATGACCTCTCCTCTGTCTGCCTCTTCATACCTTTCAGTTTTCCTCTCTATTTCAGTAATGAGTTACTAGTTTTTTCTTCCAACAACTGCTGTTTCATTCTTCTGTGCCTTTAATCTGCTTGTCCACCCATCATCCTCCAAACTCCATCTAGGCTAAATAATCATTTTCAATCTCCTGCATACCCTTTTTACTCTGAATTAAAATGAAGTGTTAAGATTTTTTCTTCTTTGGACTTTAAGGCAATGAACCTGTGTCTTTAGTTGGTATACCCACTGTACCTTCCACTCAGCAAACCTGAATTACCTTCCTGATGCTTGCCTCCCATCACCCGCTTTATCCATTACTGCTTGCAGCTTCTTGCACCTCTGCTTAGGAACTTTAAGAGGCTCCTTTGTTTCTACTAGATAAAAATCTCAAATTCTTAGTGTGATGTTGTCATCACTTGGTGTGACCTTAATGTGATTTTGTCATGTGTTTCCTTCCTTTTTCCATACTCATGTCCTACTGTGTACATGCACAAAAATCATGTTATCAAACTCTGGCACTTTCAGCATTACACACTGTGGGTAACCTTCTTTTTTATCTTGGTATCATTGTACATGCCATTACTTCTGTCTAGAATACACACTCCTTCTCTTTTTTCAATCTCCCAAAGAATACCTTTTCCATTTGAGGCTTAATTTAAGCTTCTTTTGTCTCTGGAAAGCTACTTTCTCAAATCCTGGTACATAACTTACATTCTTAGACATGTAATTACAATACAGTTATTTATCTCTACTGTTATATTGTAAAAATCTCTAGGACAGGAAATCTTTCATCTCTGGGTTCTCTTACCTCCTACTTTATAGCCTGGTACTTGATACTTGATAAATGTTTGAATAAATAAATCGATGTTGAATTTATTTGAAGGTACTAACTTTTTTTGATACATACTATGGGTGTCCTATGCCTAATTTTAATTTATGTCTTGAATGTTTTTACATTTGAGCCATTTGTTTGATTTTTCTAATACTTGCTTCAAAAATAAAATAGAGGTAGAGTGTAGGTCAGTAGTAGAGCTCTTGCCTAGCATGTGTGAGACCTTAGGTTCAATCCCTAGCACCACAAAACAAAAACAGTCCTGTCCAAATGTCAAAGTTTAATACTTAACATTTAATTTTTTTCTTGTTTCTATATTCAAGGCTTACTGTGTAACAGAACCTGGAGCAGGCTCTGATGTAGCTGGTATAAAGACCAAAGCAGAAAAGAAAGGAGATGAGTATATTATTAATGGTCAGAAGATGTGGATAACCAATGGAGGAAAGGCTAATTGGTATGTTTTTTGAGACATCTCTGTAAATTCTTAATTACTTTATGTTTGGAATCTTTCCTTCCTTACTTTTCAAGCAATCTCAGTTAAAGTAAGCCATGTTCATGAAACTGGAAAGCCTATGAGTTTATTTTTAAGCCCCTTAGCTATTACTTTCAGATTAACTTTAAGAGGTTTAATATGTAAGATTAAAAGAATTGCTACTCTTAAATCTGATTATGAAAGCTAGTACTCCATCTCCTTGGTTTGTCTTTACTTCCCCATCTCTTGTACCATAACTTCCTTGGAATCTCTAAAGCTCTGAGGAAAAAGGAAAATTTTTGGTGTAGGATGTCTCTGGTTCTCAGAAATAAGTAGAGGCTTTGAGCTTGTTAGGCAGGTGTTTTACCATTTGAGCCATGCCTCTAGCCCAACACAGGCATTCTTAAAACTCAGAGGGTGAAGAATTTGACTTTAATAAAATCCAAAAAGTCCAAATATATAGGTCTAAAAATAATGATATGAAGTTCAATAAAAGATCAAAAAGTCATTTGTAAAATATAAAATACTAATGAAAATTATTATATCTTTTAAAAAAGAAGAGGAAAATTTAATAAATAACTATAAATTCAATGGGAAGCAACAATATGGTGTGTTAGCCCTACAAAGTAATTTGGGCTGGGGATGTAGTTCAATGGTAGAGTACTTGCTAGTCTGAGAAGAAAAAAAAAAAGCTAATGTTAATGTAATGTCATGTTGAAGTAATAGAAGTATAGCATTAAACAACAGATAAAAATGGTGAACATTCTGAACACATGTTAAGGCAAGTTTTGAAGAAAAAAAAAGGAATAACTCCAGAAGCAGTAACTGTTCTGTGTTAGGAGAAACCTACAAAACATGTGAAAACTAAAGGGTTTTGGCTTACTTGACTTTTTTGAAATAATATTACATACTGTATTTTGAAATAATATACATACAAAAAAGAGCAGGCTGTCATGTTTACTTTAGGAAGCCAGTTAAAATTAATAGCAGTTAGAAAAATAAGTTCAAATTAGCTCAAAATGAGGACAAGCTTTGAAACAGTGCTGTGCAAAATGTTTTGTCATGGAAAATAATACATTTACCCCTGTCTCTATGTATATAAATAGACACTTCTTAGGAGAAATTTGGGTATTTGGAATAATGTGCCAAATAGCCTGACTCTCCCATCTGAAAAATTTCTGATTCAATATATTTGTGTCACTTCAGTATTAAAGAATATCTTGGCAGAGCTTGTGGTTAGCATGTACGGAGACTTTTGGTTCAATGCCTGGCAGGAACCCTTCCCCCCAAAAAATCATTCCAGGGAATGAACCTATTAGGAGAGCCTTAGGGTTATTTTAATTGTCAATCCATTTTGAGTACCCTAAATGTGTCTAGTATTGTGGAATGCTATATCATTGTCATTTGGTATCCTAATGTCAGCAAGTAATAAAATGTAAAAAAAAAAAAAGCCATTGAAATTTAACAAGCTGAAATGTAACAATGCACTTAGAAAGAAATATTAATAATGTTAAGAAATGACCACTCTTCACAGTTAAATTAGGTAACTTATGAAATTAGAAAACAATTTTTATTTTTTCTTATAATTAAATGAAACTATAGAGTCAATGACAATTTATTGATTTTAATCATAGAAAATAAATTTGTTAAGGAGGAATATTCCTTTTTTTTAACTTGGTCGTGCTGGGATTGAACCTAGGGCCCTTTGCAATCTAAACAGCACTCTACTTCTAAGCTATTACCCCCAGCCTTTTTTTAAAAGTTTGAAAAGAATTCTCCAGAATTTTTGGAACATGGGTTTGTATAGTTTGTATTTTTTTCTTCATGTTTTATTTCAAAGTCTTTCTGAGAAAAATGCTTCTGAAGGGAAAACTCAGCAAATATTCATAATTTAGCTATAATAAGTACATATTCACTGGCTTTGCTACATAAAGGCACAGTAGTCACAATGGAGGGGTCTGAGTTTCATATTATTCCTCTTCACTGGTAGCGTTGTTTAGCTTCATTTTCCAGATAGCTTGTCCCTAAAAAATAAAATTGGTTGGGCCAGGCACTGGTGGCTCATGCCTATGATCCTAGCTGCTCAGGAGAAGAAATCAGGAAGATGACAGTTCAAAGCTAGCCTGGGCAAATAGTTGAAGAGACCCTATCTTGAAAATATGCAATACAAAAAAAAGGGGCAGGGTGGATGGCTGGTGGATGGCTTAAGTGGTACAACACCTGCCTGGCAAGTATGAGGCCCTGATTTCAAGCCCCAGTACCACAATAAACAAATACATAATTGATTGGAATGATAGTTCCAGCCCACGCATACTTTCTTTGCATATTGCACTGTCCCTTTAGTTTTTCAATTTTCATGGGACTGGGGTTTGAACTTAGGGCTTTGCACTTGCAAAGCTGGTGCTCTACCACTTGACTCATGCCTCCAGTCCATTTTGCTCTGGTTATTTTGGAGATGGGGTCCTGCAAACTATTTGGTCAGGCTGGCCTAAAACTGAGATCCTCCTAATCTCAACCTCCTAAATTTACAGGCTAGGATTACAGGTGTGAGCCACCTGCACCCAGCCTGCATTGTCTTTACATGAGGAATTTTTACTTATAACTCATACTACCAAAAGGTTAAAATAGCACATTAGTTAAGTAGATATGGGTTGAAACACTAACTTGAGCACATAATAGATTTATGACTCTCGAAGGTTTCGAAACCTGTTTGATTTCTCATTTCTTATCTGAAAGATGAGAGTAATAATTATTGGGATTCGTGGGAGAATTAGCTAAGCTAGTGATCACCGCGTGCTATTCATTAATATCATTATCACCATCATCATATGTGTACATATATTAGGTATTTTTTGCTGGCGCGTTCTGATCCAGATCCTAAAACTCCTGCTAATAAAGCCTTTACTGGATTTATTGTGGAAGCAGATACCCCAGGAGTGCACATTGGAAAAAAGGTAAAGTGTATAAGGCCTCAAATATTATTTTAACTATAAATATCAAAACTAGTATTTCAGTTTCCTTTAATGAAAATATTTTGTTAGACTGGAATAAAAATAAAACTGTGTTTTGATGACATCAGGTAAAATAGTTTATATGTCGCTGAATATTTTAAGTTGAAGTTATTCATTTGAAATGTTTTGAAAGATTAACCTGCATAGAATGGTAATAGCAGCTGTGAGGTTTATCAAAATAAAATCAAACTGTTCTTTATATTCCCTGCCCAGTAGTAGAGTATTAGATAGCTCAAAGGGCTTTGCCACTCTTTTTTTCTTATTGGATCCTCACAGCAACTTTTCAATCAGATTAGTGGCATTGTGCCCATTTCACAGGTTAAAACAATGTGACCTAAATGGATTACCCAAGATCATACAACATTACAAAAACCATCTGTGCCTTAGAAAAATATAAGAATGGCAAAGAGCCTTGAATGTGGAAATGCAAGAAAATTTTATTTAAGTAAGAAAAGGTAATATATTTTAGAAAGGTTGTAATCTGAATATGTGAAGGTAATTTAGCTCAAACTAGACTAGGAAGAGTTTAAAACTTGACTTATCAAAAGAAAGAAATGAAGTCATTATAGTAGTCCTAGTGGGAACTAACAAAGATATAACTGCAAAATTTTTTTTTGTTTTGTAAATTTACCTGTTTTACTGTCAAAGCGTAAGTAAAAAATTTTTAAGTTTTTAATTGGCACATACTAAATTGTACATAGCAAGGGGTTTCATTATGACAAATATACCTTAATGACTAAATAATGTGCGCCTAAGGCAAAGGAGGAATTGTGGAAGTTAATTGTGAGTTACTGAAGGTTACATGAACATATTTTCTTCCTCCTGGCTGAATAAAGATACAGATTACCTGCTTCAAAAGTAGATTAGGTCTGCACAGACTGAACTGGAAAAGCTAATTTGAGTTAATCAAAGTAAAACAAATTTCTAAACCAGTCTTGTGTATTTGTGGAATCTTGTTTTCTTAAAAGCCATCAGTCATTTCTATTGTATCCAAACATTTTTAAAATAGAAGTGTGTTGTTGGAGTATGTAAGAGGGGTAACTTCTCTTTTAGGTCATGGAATTTTAAAGGTAGAAGATACCCTACATTTTATTTCCTTTAGTCTATTCACTGAATATTAAAACTGAGATCCAAGTAAGTGATCTAGTTAAGGTCAAAAACTCAGGTAGAATTAAGATCTGTAAATTGGTCTCTAGGAATTTCCCAGTACAGTTTCTCATGTTGTATTTTGCTATATTTTTAAGAGACAATATTAAAGGCAGATTGTACTTTAGAAATAACTCTAATGATACTGTTTATATAACAAAATGTAGGTACTCAGAATAGTTGTGCTTCTATCCAAGAAATTGATTTTTATTTGTGCAACAGGTCATGTTCCTTCTTAGGGATGGTTCCTAGAAAACTCCGGGCCAACAGTATGGCCCATATCTAGAAAGTGTAAAGGACCTGGTGGCTTGTACTTTTTTTTTAAGTGGTAAACCCACTCCTGATTTTGTCTTGATGTTTCTAATCTCATTGTGTTTTTACCCAATTTTGTTTTTTTTTTGGTGACACTGAGGTTTGAACTCAGGACCTCACGCTTGCTAGTTGCTAGGCAGGCGCTCTTACTGCTTGAGGCACTCTGCCAACCTCCTTTTATTTTTGTGATGGGTTTTTTCAAGATAGGATCTCATAAACTATTTCCCCGGGGCCAGCTTTGAACCACGATCCTCCTGATATCTGCCTCCTGAGTAGTAGGATTACAGGCATGAGCCACTGGTACCCAGCTTTTTTACCCAAGTTTCTTACTCTAAAAATCTCTATTCAAAATATATTTATTATTGAATGCATATTATGTACTAGCCACCATCCTAGATTTTGAGAATAGTGTATTGATCAAAACAAACAAAAAAATCCCACCCTAGAGCTTACTTTCTAGAGAGAGAAACAGGTAATTATCTTGTATGTATTTAAGCCTCCTTAAATCTTTTTTAAATAAATGGGCATTTAACAATTTGTGAAATTCATGTTTTCAAAAGCATTTTTAAAAAATTTTTTTTGGTAGCATTGAGGTTTGCACTCAGGGTCTTATGCTTACTAGGCAGATGCTGTTACAGCTTGAGCCACTTGTTGCCAGCAGCATTTTGATTTTAAATATGGGGTTTAAGGTGAGTCTGAGAAACAAGTTAAAGTGTCTTCATAAATCATGTATTCTCCTATCAGAGTGGTAGTCTAAGGAACTAGAGTTTATTAATTTATGAAGACAAAATAAAGGGGATATTGGCATCTTTCTGGGTTAAACTATATATATTGTCACCATTTCTTCAAGTTTGGAAGCCTATTTTTAATATTAAAGTCTCTAAATTAAAGAATTAGTTTGTAACTGTTTCTTTTGTCCCTGTTTCTCTTTCTGCTTATTAAAAAGATTAATTTTTTTTCCTTAAGGAGAAGAATCACAATGTCTGTAACTTCCTTTCAAGTGGTTCTGGATAATGTAGAGAGAGGGAAATAATTTAAATGTGTCAAAGTGTGTCAACAGTTGATAAATTTTGGTAAAGGGTACAAGCACCACAAACTTAGTACCCTAGGTATTTATCCAAAAGAAATGAAAACAAAGACCTATACCCAAATGTTAATGGCAGCTTTATTGATTGCTAAAAACTGACAGGAAAATGGCCATCAAGTGATGAATAATAGATACCTGGTTCATCCATATAATCGACTACTACTCAGCCATAATAGCAATGAATTATTGATCATGCAGAAATATGAATGATTCTCAAAAGCACTACACTGAGTGAAAAGTCAGAGAAGACCTTATTATTCTACTTATAGGACATTTTGGAAAGGGAAAAACTATATGGAGAGAAATCAGATAAGTGGTTTTCAAAGGATAGAGGTAGAGTAAGGGACTTCACTACAAAGACAGAACAAGTTAACTAGGGTGCTGAAATATTCTGGATTGTGATGGTGGTTACACATATACTTTTGTCAAATGTTATGATGGTATGCAGTAGTCCCTCTTTACCCACTGTTTAGCTATCCATAGTTTCAGTTAATGTGAGCTACCATGGCCTGAAAATAGTAAATGGAAAATTACAGAAATTAACAATTCCTAAGTTTTCAAAAACTTTTTATAATATTTTTATTTTATTACTATTAGCTTCTTACTGTGACTAATTTATAAGTTAAACTCTATCATAGGTATGTATAGGAAAAAATGTATTTAAAGGACAGTACTACCCATGGTTTCAGGTATCCACTGAGAATCTTGGAACATATTCCCCTCATTTGGGGGAGGAGGCTTTACAAAAAAGGTGGGGGAATTTTTCTATATGGGTTTATCTCAATAAGCCTAATTTTAAGATAGAATCGGAGGAAAATAACACATCTAATGTTTACCCAATAGATTACTTTGCTAGCAGTTAAAGTTCCAAATCAAGTTATGCTTGCTAAATGATTTTCCTGACACTCATGATAAAAATTATAGCTTTCAAACGTATACAAAGTATAGTCAATTTGTAGACCTTACACTAGTTTTGGTTTCAAAATTGGTGAAATACTTTTTTTTGCGCCATTGGGGCTTAAATTCAGGGCCTTCACCTTGAGCCACTCCACCAGCTCTATTTTTGAAGGGCTTTTTGAGATAGGGTCTCGCAAACTATTTGTCCAACCTGGTCTGGAACCATGATTGTCCTGATCTATGCCTCCTGAGTAGCTAGGATTACAGATGTGAGCCACCAGCACCTGGTGAAATACTATTTTTGACTAGGATTTGGCAAACATTTTTGGACTATCCAGATTGTTAGGCTTTGATAGGTCAGGTGGTCTGTCGCAACTACTCAGTTCTGCCATTGTAGCAAGAAAGTAGCCATAGAAGATATTAAACAGATAGTGTGTCCATATTTCAATGAAGTTTTACTTACAAACCAGGCATTACAGCCCATCCTTCTTGTTCCCTGCTTTAAATAATTACAGAAAAGCATAAAACAGTGGTTAATGTTAAAATCAATAGGACTCAAAAAAGTGTTTCTTAAAATGTGACAATTTTCTTGTTAGGAATTAAACATGGGCCAGCGATGTTCAGATACAAGAGGAATTGTCTTTGAAGATGTGAAAGTGCCTAAAGAAAATGTTTTACTTGGTGAAGGAGCTGGTTTCAAAATTGCAATGGGAGCTTTTGATAAAACCAGACCTCTAGTAAGTTGATAATCTTTGTAGGATCTTTTACTACCTTGAATGAGTAGTTTTATTTCGACTTTGTATGCTTGGGTATGTTTTTCCTTTTTAATATCTGCTTCTTTTAGTAAGGGTGGAGAACAAGTAACTTTACTATTTACAATTCAAGTTTCTCCTCCTCGTTTTAGAAATTATTTTAGCAAATGCAGAATTAAGGAAGTTTCTGCTAGATTTCCAGACAGGCAGTTCACACTTAATTTGATCATTCCTGTTCTGTACTCATGTCCCCACAACTTTGTTTTTGGCAGTATTGGAGTTTGAACTCAGGCCTCATGATTGCTAGGCAGGTGCTCTACCAGTTTTGCTGTTCCCCCAGCCACTGTACTCATTTCTTATTCCTTTCCTCATTAAGAATATTTCTCTATAGGAAAGTTGCCCTTGTTAAACAGAGGAATGTTTTTTCTCTAAACTGTGATCCTGTGCGTATCAAATGCTACAATTACACCCCCCCCCCTTTTTTTTTGAGGTGCTGGATATCAGAGTCAGGGCCTTTCACAGGCTAAGCATGCTCTCTACCACTGAGCTATATCCCTAGCACCTGCCTTTAATTCGTAAGTAATATTAAAACTTAAGTGTTCACCTCTCCCTCTCCAACCCCCATTCTTCTATTAAATTAATTTCTCTTTATATAATCCTTAATTTAGAATCTAAGGCAGATAGCTATATACTATGTTCAACATGTTATAAAGACAACATGAACCTTTGTTTTATAAAATGTTAACATACTAGGTAGCAGCTGGTGCTGTGGGATTAGCACAGAGAGCTTTGGATGAAGCTACCAAGTATGCCCTGGAAAGGAAAACTTTTGGAAAGCTGCTTGTTGAGGTAATTTTAATATGGTATTTGCTTTGTTGAATGTTGACACTCATTTTCATCTAATATTAGGAAATTATTTTTAAAATTGCACAAAATAATCTATTTCTACTTTGGTAGCGAGAAAATACCATGGTTATTTCAGGGTATTTTTCAAGAATAGATTTTCTTGAGCCTATGAGATTAATGATTAGTCAGTCTGTGAATTATATTAAGATAAGAGCTAATATTGGGTGCTTGTTGTGTACCTGCCACTGCACAGTGTATTTAAATATATTTTCTTATTCTCTCAGTAATCCCCCCTTTTTTTTGGTTGAACTGGGATTTGAACTCAGGGCTTCACACTTGCAAAGGGGGCACTCTACTGTTTGAGTCACACCTCCAGATCATATTGCTGTGGTTATTTTTGGAAATGGGGTATGGTGAGCCATTTGCCCAGACTGATCCTCCCTTCTCAGCCTCCCAAATAGCTAGGATTACAAGTGTGAGCCACTGGTCTGCAGCCTCAGTAACCCTTTTTGGATGGTGCTATAATATGTTAAAGATCAAGACACAGCCTCAGAGATAATAAATAATTTGTCCCAGCTTGCACAATTTATAAGCCACAGATCCAGGATTCTATTTTAAGCTTTTAATTCACATTACTTTCTGTGTCTTGTTGAGTATTAAATTTAAGAGTCGCATCTTCCATGAATTTCCAGGGAAATTCTTAATTCCTGTCTTTTTAAATAGTCATGTCCTTACTGACTATATTCTCTCTTCTTTAACTCACCATGAGCTGTACAGTGAACCTTGCTTTTACTCTTTGTTCCTGGTGCTGTGGATCAAATACAGGATTTCACACATAAGGCGAGTGCCCTACCACTGAGCTACATACCCAGGTTGAACCTCCTATTTCTGTCCCCATGTCAGTAGTTCTCATGTTATTTGTGGTAAAAGATAAATTTGATTTTTAATTTCCAATCAATTGTGGACCATTACTTTTGTAAAATAAAAACAGTATGTCAACCTAAATTGAGTGACAGAGAGACTGACTCTCCAATGAGTGAGAAATGCAATTTGATGGCAGTTCATGGCCCATCTAGGAACTTGGGGCTGGGGGGGCTCTTAAAGAAAAAGAAGTCCATGCAAGTTGTTTTGAAACAAAGACCACTGGCTACAGAAGATTGTTATAGAAGTTGTGATAGCTCATTACATTTACTTTGAATTGATGGATATTTTACTCATTCAAAAAATAAAGCTGGATGCTGGTGGGTCTATAATCCCAGCTACTCTGGAGGCAGAGCTCAGGAGGATGGATGGCTTGAGGCCAATTAGGGAAAATAGTTCATGAGACCCTATCTTAAATACCCAGCATATAAAAAAAGTAAATAAAGTCAATCTGGGTTAATAATCCTAGCCCTCAGGAGGCCGAGGCAGTAGGACCTCCTCATGTTTGCTAGGCAGGTGCTTTCCTACTTAGTCACTCTGCCAGCCCTTTTTGCTTTGTTTATTTTTGAGATAGGGTCTTGTTTTATGCCTGGACAGGCCTAGACTGTGATCCTTCTATTTATGTTTACATTGTAGCTGGGATGAGATGGTATCTTGCAGACTTTTTGCCTTGGCTAGCCTCAGACCACGATCTCTTGATTTCCACATTCTGAGTAGCTCAGAGGCATGAGCGTGAGCAACCATGCCAGCCTTTGTTTTACTTTTTGTGACCTTTGAGTCATATCAGTTTACACTTAGTCATAGAATTTGTGTTTTTTATAACGTCTTCAAAATCTGTTTTCATGTTGCTTACTACATAAAGGTTTCTAATCCTCTTAATACTATTGTTTTTGAATGTTTATTATTTTAAAGGGAATGTCTTATTTTATTATAACAATTCGTATTAAAACACTATAAGTGGCTGAGTGTCAGTGGCTCATGCCTGTAATCCTAGCTACTTGGGAAGCTGTAGGACTGAGGTTCAAGGTCAGTCCAGGCAAATAGTTTGAGAGACCATCTCCAAAATGACCACAGCAAAAAATGGACTGGAGGTGTGGCTCAAGTGGAGAATGCTTGCTTTATAAGTGCAAAGCTCTGAGTTCAAATCCCAGTCTCACCAAAAAACAAATATGTTAAATTAATAAAACTCATCATAATCCTATGATTCAGAGATAATTACAGCAAGTATTTTACTACTTTTCTTGAGCATATTTTTCCAAAGTTGTAACCATACAGTATACTTGAAAATTTCATATAAAATATATGATAAACATGTATTTACGTCTTGACTATATGGCACATGAAGCATCTCTTCTTGCAAATATTTGCTTTATGTCTTTTCCTTGGATAAGGATAAAGAACTTGAACTTCTAGAGGATAAAAAGCATTGTATCTGTTATCTGACACATTGCTGCTATTTTTGTCTGTAGCAATTTTCTTTAGAAAGTTCTAGCACTTAAAATTTTTGCAGAATTTGTGCACCAAATACATAACCTCATCTAATCATGAAAAAACTTTAGATAAACCCAAACCCAAACTGAGAAATGTTCTATCAATACAATAATTCAATATTCTTCTGAAGGGAAAAGTCATGAAAGACTGAGAAATTACAACAGTCTGGGAGAGTCTATGAAGCAGTAAACTCAAACCAGACATGGTGGTAAATGCCTGTAATTCCAGCACTGGAGAGGTTCATGCAAGAAGATTGAGAGGTCAAGGCTGGGAGACCCGATCTCAAAAATAGGACCAGAGGAATACCCTAAATTCATCATGTGATCCTGAAACAGATATATGATATCAGTGGAAGACTTGGCCAACTTTAAGTCAGGTCTGCAGTTTAGTTGGTAATAAGTACCAATGCAAATGTCCTGTCTTGATCATTGTGTTGTGGCTGTGTGATATGTTAACACTTAGCGGAAGCTGCAAGTCTAAAATTAGTTCAAAACAAAAAGAAAACACAGTGCTTCCTGGAGAAAAACTTTAAAGTTTTGTCAATAGCTGGCCTTAAACTGTTTTCTTTTAAATTTTAGCACCAAGGACTATCATTTTTACTGGCAGAAATGGCAATGAAAGTTGAACTAGCTAGATTAAGTTACCAAAGAGCAGCTTGGGAGGTTGATGCTGGTCGTCGGAATACCTATTATGCCTCTATTGCAAAGGCATTTGCTGGAGATATTGCAAATCAATTAGCCTCTGATGCTGTGCAGATGTTTGGAGGCAATGGATTTAATACAGAATATCCTGTAGAAAAACTAATGAGGGATGCCAAGATCTTTCAGGTAAGGTTAAACATTACTTTTGTTGTTTCTTAGGAGACAGAATATAAATGACAGTAGATTAATGGTTATTTAGGGACTTTATGCCACTAGTAGTAAGAAATGACTACCAAAAAATGGCTGAGTCATTTTATGAGCCATTCAGCAAACAAAGAAAGTTATTTTGTTTAAGTATAGGTCTTAAGAGGGAATAGGCTAACAAGGTAAATGGTACAGACATGTATAATATATCTGGGTCAGCCTTGAGTTTTAACCAATTAAGCCAATTGTAATTTACATTTTGCTCTCTGAATAGTATACATGACATTTAAAATCACTTTGTTTTGAATTTTGCCTAACAATCCTAGAATTACTTGAAATCACAGAATTTAAAAGCCAACATGATGAGATAATGATATATGACTTTTACACATTTTTATTAGCATATAATAGTTGTATAGGGAAGATACATTGTGGGATTTACATAATGTGCTTGCAAAATATCTTAATTAGGTTCATCCCGTCTGTCATTCTCCCTCATCACCCCTTACCCTTTCATAGAACAATTTCAACAGATTTCATTGTTCTATTTTCATGCATGACTATAAAACACACCCACCATATTCACCTTCCTTGACCCTCTCCTTTTTCCCTCCCTCTCCTAGTACTCACCCCTGGAAAGGACCTGTTCTACTTTCCTGTCCTTAATTTTTTAAGTGTATATTGATTGTTCCAGGGAATTTTCAGACCTGTGTATATTATGTTTTAATCAGATTAACCCCCTCTATTACTTATGCTTTATCTCCCTGATCCCCTTTTGTTCAAAGCTTACAGTACATTTTGTTTTATTATCTTCATACACAGATGCAACATGTTGATATATGACTTCTAAGTGAAATTGGTGGTTAGAAAAACTTAGGAGTAATTTAGTAAATAAGATACAAATGTCCATGTTCTTTGTATGTGACTTAATTATAACCTATGCCCTTTGCTATCCTTTCCTTGCTCCCTACCCTGCCAGCAAATTATGTGACAAATCCAGTCATTTGAAATCTTGAGGTGGAATCATAATGCTAGTATGAGAATGTTAGATGTAACTCAGTGTTCCCACTTACACATGAAAAAACTGAGATCCAGAATTCGTGCCTCTCCAGAGGCACAGGTGTAGTGGATGATAGTCTCTACCTCCTAGAGCTTATAGTTGTTATAATTATTACTGTTATTATCAACTGTTTGGCTTATCTGTGCCACTTGAGAAAATAAACTGACAAATAACTAAGATTAGAAGTTTCAAAAGGAAGTGAGGACTGTCTACTAGGCATATGTAAGTGACCAAAGAGAAATCCTTCTAACATTGTTATTAAAAAAAAAATTATGATTGGGCTGGTGGAGTGGCTCAAGTGATAAAACACCTGTCTAGCAAGCATGAGCCCTAAGTTCAAACCCCAGTACTGCAAAGGAAAATATATATATATGAAGAGAGAGATGGATTCTATCTATCTGTCTGTCTATCTGTCTATCTGTGCTTTTCATTGGCTAAACAGTTTCAAACAGATCCAGATGAAGTTTTTACATTTCGAGCCTTTAGTGCAAAGACACTAAGTCATGTGGGAAATAAAATACTTACACAGTGAAGCTCTGCCCTGATACATTTAAGTATTAGGATGATCAGGCAGAAGGCAACTTTTGTGATAGAAATCTGCTGATAAATCTGCTTGAAGGAAATGATTTGAACCTCACATGATGGTATCTTTATTTATTTAACAATTCTGTTCCTAAGTAGCAGAAGAAAAAATCAGGTTTAATAGTATGAGTAGAAAATGACTGAAGGTGACAAGTAGATAAGAACAGTTCAGAAAAGTTGGATAAATATTTTGGCAACATCAAACTTTAGCTCTCCTAAACTTTTTGAAATGTAAGTATTTTCTTTGATGTTTTGAGTACTGTCTCCAAATTTTTGTGAAATGACTTTTTATAATTAAACTATTTTAGAGGCTTCACAAAACTGATTTCATACTCTCCAAAGGCTACAGGTCCTATATATTGTTTGGTAGTGCAATAAAGCTAATACTGTTCAAAATACTAAATAAGCCAAGGTATTTATGTACTGAAAATATTTAACCTACCTTTATTTTTTTCTTGCAGATTTATGAAGGCACTTCACAAATTCAAAGGCTCATTATAGCCCGTGAACACATTAGCAAGTATCAAAAGTAAAACGGATTGCTATAGAAACATGATTGAACATTGAATAAGTACAGTACAGGCCACTGTTTTTTTAACCTACTAACTATGCTTTAAAAGAGAGATAGGGCTTTAACATTTTTTCAGTGAAAATACTAAATACTCTAGTATAACTGTGCAATTGATTTTAACAGTAGTTTGTACTTCTGTTTTACTCTGATTTCCCTTTTTTCAAATAGATGTGGTTTCATTAAAATTATGTGTTGTCCTTAGTATCAGTATTTGTACTAACCTAGAAGAATACATTTGTCTTTTTGATCTTTTAAAATTAACCACACTTTCAGAAACACCTTAAAATTTCAAATTTTTCCAGTGACAAAAGGGGAATATTCCCAAACTTACATTGAGAAAATATTGTAAGATTTGGATACCATCAAACAACTTGCCATTGACTTTGTAGACTTAATGGTATTACTGCACTATAGTAGTTTATAATTTTGAATGCATTTGATTTTAGTTTTGCACAGTAGTACTAACATTTTTGATATTCATATTTTCCCATAAAAAGCCCAGTGTATTTCTTGAAAATCTTGTTAATACTGAGCTCACATTTAATTTGCCTTATTTAAAATATGTGAATAAAGTTTGTCTTAAATTATTTTTATATGATCCAGTTGTTCTAGGTAGCCTTTGGTCTATGGTATACAATCTCATTTCATGTGCGTGCATTTTGAAAAGGAACTCAAAATTATCTGTTCAGTGCTGAATAGTGTATCTTTCTGCATTCTTTTCAGGAAGTCTTATTACTTCATGTAACAGTATATATTTCATTTATTTACCACGATGAAAAGTAAATCATGTTATTTTTGAACTGCATAAAGTTAAAGACTTCAGAAAATATAAATATGAAATATTGTAAGAACCACAATTTGTGAATTTAATGTTTTTTTGTAATTCAAAATATCAAAGACTGTGCTACTAAATGGGAACATTTTGACATTACTTCTAATTTTTTGATATCAACTATGTATCTTACATTTCAGTTCATTTTTGATACAACCTAGAGTTAGGCTTATTTCCACAAGACTATCCTTACTGCAGAGGCCAGCCACAAGTCTTGGGCCCCCAGGCTACCTATAGTGTCCAACATGGCTACAAATTCAGGTATTCCCATGATTTTATAGCAGTATATGTTTTACTCAGCTTGAGCTGCTATATACAAAATACTGTAAACTAGATGGTTTATCAATAATACAAATTTATTTCTGAGTTTTGGAAGCTGGAATTCCAAGATCAGGGTGTCAGCATGGTTGGGTACTAGTAAGGGTCCTCTTCCAGGTTGGAAACAGGATTAGAACTGTTTTGAGATAGGGTCTTAATACATAGCCCAAGCTGGTTTTGAACTTGTGATCATCCTGCCTCAGCCTCCAGGGAGCTAGGATTACTGGCAGGCAGAACTACACCTCATTTAAAAGTTAATTTTTAAAACTGTCTGCTAATTTGGGAACTTTTAAAAATAGAAGTGCTTATTTACCTCTATAAACCAATCAAAACAGAGAGCCTTACTCTGAGAAATATTATTAAGACTTATGAATATACAAAGATGAAAACAGCAGATCTTCTGTCATCTCACATCAAAGACAGAACTGCTTTCTGTAATTGACAGAGATATTAAAATGGGCCACAAACTCAAAGTCTCAATCTCTGCTGCTCTCAATGAGGATTAATTTATGGGCCATGCCTGAACCAGAAACAAATAAATCCAAAACAAACCCCAAAATCAGTATAGTGGAAAACCTACACAAATAGAGTAAAAAAAAAAGTTAAGGTCCTTGCCATTCGAGGGTCATCCTGAGAACCAAGAAAAGACAGACCTCAGTGTAAGTAGATCCAGAAGTGCTCTTCACAAGCAATGTAGTTCATTTGGCTCTACCTAGTGAATCCACTTAGGGTATCTAACTAGTTGTCCTCCAAAACCGTTAAGTATAATTTTCAAAATGATAAAATCATGATGCACATACAAATAAAATAAATATATTGTGAATTTTATTTAGCTGGGCATGGTGGTGCATGCCTATAGTTCCAGCTGCTCTAGAGGCCAAGGTACAAGGTTCACTGGACCTCATTAGTTTGAAACCAGCCTGGGCAAAACAGTGAGACCTCTCCCCATCTCAAAAAATTATATTTTTTGTATTTAACTCATTAGTCAAGGAGGGAAGCAATAAGCTATTAAAACCCATTCCTAGCAACCAGTTTAAGCTATCTCAAGGCGTTTCCTTTTTTGAAAAATAGCTAACCTCCAGCCGCTTTTTTATAATTCACAAAGGATACAACTTCATTTATTAAATGTTTTTTTTCCCCAAAAAGATGTTTTTTTTCCTTTGGTGCTGGAGTTTGAACTCAGGCACTCATACTTGCTAGACAACCACTCTACCAACTTGAGCCACACCACTAGCCCTTTTTTATTACTTTTAGTTATTTTTCAGGTAGTTATTTTTAGTTATCTTACAGGCCTCAGACCAAGATCTCCCTACCTGGGGTGTCCTCATAGCTGGGATGACAGGCACATGCCACCATACCCGGTATATTTGTTGAGATAGGGTCTCCTTCAGTTTTTGCCCAGGCTGGCCTCAAATCTCAGTTCTCCTGATCTTTGCCTCCTAAGTGGCTGGGATAACAATTGTGAGTCATCTCACCTAGGCTTTCATAGAATCCAGGGTGATATTGATGCTGCTAGCTCATGGACTTTTTTGAATAGCAAAAGGACAGTGGAGTATAGATTTTAAGAAATTACTCAGTGCATCACAGAAAGACCAAAAAAGATGGGAAATTAAGAGGTTAAGCAATAAGAAGGATGGAATAGAAAGTCTAAAATGTTCACTGAAGTCCCAGCACTTAAATTTGTAGGGCCTAGAATAAGAGCACAAATGGAGGCCTACATATCATGTGTTAACATTTAACAACTAAAAGCTAAAAATAAGCTAATAAACTCTTAAACTATGTTCTGTCCTTCAACTTTTATAATTATACTTCCATGGCATTCCAGAAAGCCAGGTTCAAATTTAGACTGCCTGGTCTTAGAATCCTGTGTTAGAGAACTGTAGAGTAAAAAGAGATGTCTCTTGGCCCATTCCTTGCTTCTGCATCATGATGGGCCTTGTACCCATGCATGTGGATATTCCAGACTCACATCCAAAACCTCTCCATGTCCCACTTAAAGCAGGGTCTTAGCCACCCCTTGGGATATGTGGCACATATCGAGCATATGATTGATCTTTCCTTTAAGAAAATAGTTCAGAGAAAGAACCTGGGTAAAATTCAGAAGTGAGTCAAGGGACCATTAGGGCAGGGAAATCCAGAGTAGATTCATGGTGTCCTGAAAATGGTGTGGAGGTGGGGAGGGTGACTCTGGGGACCCACATCCTCTTGGATCCAAGGACTCCTTGCCACATGTAGAGAAATGTTGGCTGGGAGGACCTGGGTTCCAGGTCAGGAATTGACCTTAGCTCGGTTTAAGAGTGATGTTAGAAAATAAGAGGCATGGATGAGGCAGAGTGACAGCTCAGACACCAGCATAGGGTTTATTGTTCTGGCAGGAGCCCTGTGGAGGTGAAGGACTGAAGGGCAGACTGCAGGAGGTCCCAAAAGGTGATAAGTGGTCAAGGAGATACCTCTGCTCCCTAGGGAACGCCCGTTTGCATCTGAAAGGCATCTCCAACATCAGGCAATGCAAAAAGGCTATAAAACCCACTCTCCACCCTGACCCATGGGATCACAGGTTTCTGGGTCCCCTTGCATTCTCCAATATGCAGTCTTTCTCTTCTCTTCTCTACAAATAAAATCTTTCCGATCTCTGCTGTTAGAGTCTGTCTGTGCTTTCATTCTCAGAGCAGGCTCAAGAACCCTGAGCACCTGAAATTCCTGTGCGTGTCATCCGTGCATCAGAGGGGGACCCCAGCAAGAGAGATAGAGCCCACTGCCACACAGCAGCTTGGGCTAGATATAGAAGGATAGTGGAAAAGTACCAGGAAGGTCACTAAGGGATATGGTTGCTGGGCAACCAAGAAAGATAAGTTGGTTAGTTTACTGTCTGCTCAACTGTCCTTGGCACCCATCTGGGGAGATAAAGGTTAATAACTAACCCTTTGTCAGTCTTTGGGGTTGGGTGGGGAAGTATCTAGTAAGCCATCTGCAAGGGGAAAGATGGTCTGGTCCTAGCATGGCTGTCCTCACTGTTAACCCCAACAAGTGGCACTGGAAGGTAAAATGTTAGACAATTTTCAGACAGAAAAAGGAAAATAAATTCGTAATTGAAGACAGCTTCATGAAAGTGCACAAAACAGAACACCAAGATCTTTGAAGCGGCTTCTAAGAGATGAGAAATTATTCACAAAGTAACTACATCTTTCAAGCATTGAGGAAAAAGCAACTGCCAACCTAGAATTGTGAACACACCAAATTCTCTTAACAACCATTTAGGTAGACTGAGCAGCCCAGGCCAAGAGTGAGATGCCTGTGGCCTTGGGTCCCTAAGGACAGTCTCAGCCCAGGTCTTGGGTTTAGTTGGGCTGGACAGTCTCAGCCCAGGTATTGGGTTTTGTCATGGGCTGCGTTGTGGGCATGGCGGCCAGGGCGCTCTTCAGCACCTTTTCCTGTCTTAGGATCAGAATGCGGTGTGGGGAGCCGATGGGCGGCATTGGGAAAACCATGATGCAGAGTGGCGGCATGTTTGGCACATTCATGGCCATCGGAATGGGCATTTGCTGCTAACCAGGGCAGTAATTGCCTGCTACATTTACACCTTCCCATCCATCCTGGCCTTTGTACTGTAATAAAACGAAGTCTTTGCTTCTCAAAAAAAAAAAAAAGACCCATTTAGGGTGAAATAAAGATACTTTCAGATAAACACAAGTAAGAGTTTACAACAAGGATAGTGTGATATGCAAAAAAAAATAAGTTAATTGATAAACATGTAGAAAAATTACCTAAGTTAGATGATAATAAAAATTTTTTTGAAGTTAAAAAATACTACAGTACAAGTTAAAAGGAGGGGTCTTACAGTTACGAAGAAGAGTTAGTAAATTTAACTTTAGATGTTTTTAAGTGTGCAACTTAAATTTCAAAGTAGTCTAAAATAACAGAATTATACTGTTACTTCTAAACCAGAAGAAAAGGAAAAAAAAATTGAACAAGGAAGCATATTAAAACATTTTTTAAACGCAGGAAATGTCAAAACAATAAAAAAGCATAGAAAACATGAAATAAATAGAAAGGAAAAGATTAGATACAGAAACAAATCCAAATAAATAATCACAACACATAAATAGTTAATGGTTAAAAGTACACCAAAAAATCAGCGAGATTCTATTTAAAAGACACGCTGTAAAACCTAAGAACACAAAATTTCACAGAAAAAATTGGGGGAAAAAAATTCCTTAGCGGTAACTACTAACCAAAAGGTTGGGGAAATCACATTAATGTTTAACAAAAAGCAGAGATTTTTGGATAAAATGCATTTTGGAGGATGAAGACAATCACCGCCTAATGAGAAAATGCTCAACTCACCCAAAATAGGTAATTTTAAACCTAGGTGCATTTAATAAAGTAGTACCAAACTGCAAAAGGGAAAATCAGAATTACAGGACGAAACCCATCATCAGAGTCTTAATTAACTAATTCTGCCGCAACATCGATAGCCCAGGTTGGTTTGTCAGCAATCCTTCTCCAAATCCTAACTTAAACCAACTAAGTGCACAGGGCGCTAGTATTTTCTAACGGGCTCAAAAATAAGTGTGAAAGACTCACGAACGAATATAACTGCAATACACCTAGCGAGTCCGAATTTTCTAGAACGCTGTAAAAGGGCATAACTGTTTTGTTTTTTTTTTAAGTAATTTCTAATTATTTTAGCTACTGTGTTAGCACTTCCTGGAGAAGTGGGAGGAAGCGGAAAGAGAAAGACAATGCTTCATCAACACTCCCTAAAATACTTATTCAACATTTACTACTCCAGCAGGCATTCTACTAAGTAACCGCCATCCCAGATCTTCCGAATACAAAGAGACTCAAATACAAATAAAAATTTAAATGTTACTTAAAACTGCTTTAGATCATTGGAAAGGTTGTGGGAGCAGAACACAGGTTCCTAACACTTCACTGGCAGGCACAGAGGATACCTATGATCGGCCGCTGGGGTCCTAAGCGGTCCTAGTCCTCTCTGTCCTTCAGGCAGCAGTGTGGTCAGCTATAATGGGGCGTGGAGGGGAGGGGGGGCCTAGCGGCGTGCTTCTGCGCAAGCGCAAGCTCCTACATCTGCCCAGGAACTGGCTGAGTTCTCCCTTTTGGTTCGCAGACATGGTGAGTGCGGCTGAGTTTCTTCGGGCTGTCTGTCTAGTTGGGTCAGAACGACAGGGGAAGGTAGTGTTGAGCGTGTGGTCCCCATGCAGTTGTCACCAGGTATTGGAGTACGGCTACGTTAATACCAGGCTCCAGGGTTTCCTGGGCCCAGAGTGAAGTGTTACTCAGCGTTTTTGCAGCCCTCACGGGCACGATCGCCACCTCTAATTTTACCTAGGCTTCCTCCTATCAGGAGGGCCTTTTAGGATTGAGCTCCCCGATTACTTAATCCCTGTAAAAACCTGAGCTGGTTGGTGACTTCCTCCTTCCGCGTATATGTAATTTTGGTAATTTTTCTTTATATGTACTAATTTTGGGCTAGAGGAAATCCTTTAAAAATAATAGTCACGTTTGAGGCCTTGTAAATTTCATATGGTCTAGGAAGGAAATTCGTTACTTGGAATAGTCCTGGCCTATTTTATAGTGACCACAATGCAGTCCTTGTAGATAACAGGAACTAGCGCCTCGTCGAAACTCTTGTGGAAGTGTTGCAAATGCAGACTCGTATTAACAGTAGTGAAGAGGAGCTAATCAATAGATTGCTTACTTGATGACTAGAATTATTTTTGGGAGCCGTTGAAAGATCTTTTGAACCTGTATTTGGATACGCAAGAAATTGCAAATTTGTGGCTAGCCAGAGTTAAAAAAAATCCAAAACCTTAATGCTTTCTGCCACGTGTTCTAATATGATAAATTTTGATATCCTGTAGTGATTATTTTTTTCTTCACTGACAGATTAGCGTCGAGTGGTAATTTTGGGTCGATGATGAGCTGGCATGTATTCTGAATCTAAAGTTGATTATTACTACTTTAGCTCTAGAATTACTCTGAGACCCGAAAAGTACCTGAATCTTGACTAAGATGCTGTGTTAATGCTTCAAGTTCTGTTTGGTCAGATACTTGAATTTTTGGGGGAGGCACACTTGTGGTAAGCTTGGCATTTTGCAGTCTCATCCTCCCAAGTGCTGGGATTAAAAATGTGTGGCACCACACCAGCTAGATACTTAATCTTTGCTAAGGGGTGGAACATTGATGAAACCACTGCTTTTTTATTTTGAAAGGGCACACCACAGAAGGATGTTATAATTAAATCAGATGCACCTGACACCCTGTTACTGGAGAAACATGCAGATTATATTGCATCCTATGGCTCCAAGAAAGATGATTATGTATGTATGATTTTTCCATTGAAAAATCTGTTTTTTAAAGAAGTCTGGCAGGTATAAGCATTTAGGGCAGTGCTGAAGTTCTTGGTATCCACCTCCTCCATGGCAAGGACTGAAGATGGGCTGTTGCAAATCTGAGGTTGGAGGGTTGACATAATTAACCATGATTCTTACTAGTACATAGAGGCCTTGCTAAAGAAACAAGTTAGGGTTTCCAGGTGTAAAATAGGCTTCTATTTTTCTGGCTGTGATAACGCTTTCAAGGTCAGTGATGTGTTGGCATGTATTACCTGAATTTACTGCTGATGTGTAATAACACTTTAGCTCTAGAATTACGCTGAGACCTTGAAAAGGTTTTGCCTTAAGTGGACAATCTTAGCAAAAAGTAATAAAACAACTCCACTAAGAGTAAACATTTCCCTCCTGTACCATTCAAACATCTTGGGGAATATACTGAATTTTTGTTGAGTGTTAGGTTTGGTTCCACTACCTTACAGTTAAATACATCTTATTTTTATTTTTTTTTAATTGTTTTATTATTCGTATGTGCATACAAGGCTTGGGTCATTTCTCCCCCCTGCCCCTACTCCCTCCCTTACCACCCACTCCGCCCCCTCCCCTCTCCCCTAAATACATTTTAATAGAGTTTATGGGGTGTTTACCAGAGATGTGGTATTTTCCTATCTTGGGTGGATGAAGCCTCATTTGTTCCTACAGTTTCTCTACTGTTCACCTGCCCCATTTTAAACTCTAGATTTGAGTTTGCAGCAAACTAAGATACCTACCAGATTCAAAAGTTTGTTTCTCAAATTCATGTGATTGGCCACCATCTTTATTCATGTTTAGATGAATTTTATCTAAATATAGTTAGGTTTGCTAATAGTACAGTTCATATATGAAAACAATGGATGTCTAGTAAGTGTGACTTATATGCTGCCAAGTATTTGCCCAAACTTAACTGATAAAAAAAATGATAGATGCTTTCTTACTTAGCTTTAAGTCTAGCAGTTCATAGAGACTAAACCTCTCTTGTAACTGTTAGTCATAGATGAATTAGTTTAAAATGCCAAATCCAGTTTGAGTTAGCTTTATGTGTTAAATCTCTAACCTGTCATGAAACAAACTGACAAACTAAGATTGTGTTATTTTAGGAATACTGTATGTCTGAGTATTTGAGAATGAGTGGCATCTATTGGGGCCTGACAGTAATGGATCTCATGGGACAGCTTGATCGCATGAACAGAGAAGAAATACTGACATTTATCAAGTCATGTCAACATGAGTGTGGTGGCATAAGTGCCAGCATTGGACATGATCCTCATCTTTTGTACACTCTTAGTGCTGTCCAGGTAAATGTTTAAAATTCAGCATTTTCATGCTCATCTTTTCTGAGAGTCAGGAACATGCAACTAAATCTATATCTTATGTCAAAAAGTTTTGTTGAAATGGAATCTGTCCTCCAAGGTCAATGATGTTATGGCATGTATTAGCTGAATGCACAGTTGATGTGAGTTCTTCAAATTACACTGAGACCTTGAAGGGTAAAATATTTATCTTCAGTATATAATTTTCAAAATCATTGCAGTTTAATTGCTCTTAATGAAGATCCACATGATGATTTAAATTATTTCTGTGTTTGTAAGTTGTATGTTTGAGAATCTTGAAGTGCCAAGGTACAATTTATGTGAAAATGCTTGTGATAAAGGGAAAGGCCGCAATAATTGGTAATGCCTATAGTTTTACTGAATAATGATTGCCTGCATATTTGAACAAGTTTTATACTGTACATACCCAGGAGAACATGCTTAGCAACCTGGAACATAGTTGAGGATAAGGGTGGTAGAATAAATTTGAAGAATGTTTATAAATGTGTTTGTCTTTCTTGCAGATCCTTACTCTATATGATAGTATTAATGTTATTGATGTAAATAAGATTGTGGAATATGTTCAAAGTCTACAGAAAGAAGATGGTTCTTTTGCTGGAGATATTTGGGGTAAGGTTGATGCTACCCCAAACTATTAGAATATCCTGGCCTGGTAATAAACAATTTATAAGGAGATTTTTTTAAGATTTTCATCTTTTCAGATCCCACTAAGCAGCTGGTCTGACTGGAGTTATGGTCTGATGGAAGTTCCAGCATGCCCTGTGGTAGTAATATCCGCATACAGGAGCACTGGAACAGAGGGGCCCACTCTAAAAAGATAAAGGTAGGTAAAACTTTTTCCCCCAAATATTTGGTGGTTTTGAAAAGTTAAAAACTTGCTTGAAAGGAAGAGACCAAAATACTTAACAAAATTATGGAACATTTGAGTGGAGGGAGGGAGTGGTTTTATTTGATAAATGTAGATAATCTCTGCTTTAGGGCTGAACAAAGTGCAGACCAGAGAGACCAGCTGCTTCATGGGATGTGAAAATCAAAATAGGGTAAGTTTACTTGCATCATTAGACGTCGACTAATCTTTTACTTTTTGCCCTTATGTAGATAAGTAACTTAAGGAAAGTTGTTTTAACAGTCTAAGTTCCTATTTTTTTTTTTTTGTGGGACTGGGGTTTGAACTCAGCTTCACACTGGCAAAGTAGTTGCTCTACCACTTGAGCCACACCTCCTGTCCACTTTGCTCTAGTTATTTTGGAGATGAGGTCTCATGAACTATTGCATGGGCTGACCTTGAAACCACTGGTCTCCTGATCTGTCTTTCAAGTAGTTAGGATTACAGTTGTGAGCCATCAGCATCCAACCCAGTTTTTTTCTTGATGGCATTGGATTTAGCTTTCTTCCTGACTACCTAATGTAAAAGTTAAGTGTGAAATTACTGGGAGTTCAATGTGATTGTAAGGATGTTTACACTGTTTGTGTTATAAGAAGTTTCTGGTAAGACATGTCTTGGTTTGATCCCTTTTTTAGGAGAAATAGATACAAGATTCTCCTTCTGTGCAGTGGCAACTTTGGCTCTCTTGGTAAGTTTTGATTATTGTTTTGAAATGATTAATCATCTGTATTGTGATAGTGGGAATTGAACCCAAGGTCTAGAGCTTGGTAGGCAAGCATTCTACCTCTTAAGCCATACCCCCAGCCCACTATTCTGAAATTTAATAGTTTTTTTCCCCCCTTTCTGTTTATAGGGGAAGCTTGATGCTATTAATGTGGAAAAGGCAATTGAATTTGTATTGTCCTGTATGAACTTTGATGGTGGATTTGGTTGCAGACCTGGTTCTGAATCTCATGCTGGGCAGGTAATTTTGCAGATTAAAATTTTGTGTCAATTTTGAAGATATAGCCAGTGTAATAAAATATAAAATGTTTTAATAGTAATTTTAGTTACTTGTTACATAAATACCAATGAAGTTAAAGAATTACTTGCTATTTAAGAAAATCATGTTTATAGTTTTTGTGCTATATTTGCTTCCCGTTACCGGTAGATACCCCTTACCCAAGCAAGTAGTCTCTTAATCACAAATACGTTTTCATTCTATCCTGAGTGAGCACATCTTTCTTTGTGCTCTGTATATGTAAATAGCGATGAAATAATTATCCAGGAATTGGATCCCAGTTATACAAATTTCAAATACAAAATGGAGTTTTAATATTAGAGTAAATTTTATCACGTTTACTATTAAGAAACTATTATACACATTTACTTTATGTCTGTAATTCTAGATCTATTGTTGCACAGGATTCCTGGCTATTACTAGTCAGTTGCATCAAGTAAATTCTGATTTACTTGGCTGGTGGCTTTGTGAAAGACAGTTACCCTCAGGTGGACTCAATGGAAGGCCAGAGAAGGTAATGTTTCATAACCTGTGTTCTCCAGTATTAGCTTTATATATAGGTTTAGCCGAACATTACTTTGTGTTCACATCTCAATACTGCTCGTGTAAATTGACTATGAGCTTTTTACCTTTGTTACAATTTTTCAATGATATCATAAAAAGACTGCCTTTGGCAGAAGTAGAACCTGTTGTCTTGAAATGCTCAAATTGAAGAGAATTTTAAGAAAATGAAACACCAAAGTTATTTGGATCTTTTGGTTTTATTTGGAGACAGATTAAAGCAGAGCTGCCTCAAATTCGTGATCCTCCTACCTCAGCCTCCCTACTGTTGGGATTTCAGGTGTGTACCATCATGCTTGGATTGAGGTTTTTGGTTTGGTTTGGTTTTAGGAAAACCCATCTTTTGCCATTTGGTGTGGAGGAAAGGTTATTACTTCCACGTGTACTTAGTTAAATTAGATCTGTAAAGGCCATAGCCTATTAGTTAATATAGGTTGAGTGTCTACTCTGGATCCAAATTGGTCCAAAATCTGAAAGTTTTGGATGCTAACATTATGTTGTAAAGTGGAAAATTAATTTCTGACCTCATGATGGGTTACAACAGACATGTTGTGCAAGGTAGAAACCTTGCATAAAATTACCTTCATTTCAGTGAAACCCTTTGTACAACCTATTGGCTAATAAAAATGTACAGTTCTTCAAGCTATGTGTGTAAAGTACACATGAATGTTTATGGAAATGTTCGGAGAGTTAATTCTATGCTGTGGTCTTGCAACATTGTCTTATAGAGCTCACAGATGTGACTGCTAAACCTTTCTGTGCATTACCTTTTGTATTTCATAGCAAAATCAAAGCTAATGGCTATTAGATTGTAGTCTTAACTTTGACTCAAGTGCTGTAGCTTGCTCTTTCCCTGACCTGTGAATTGCCATTGGTGGTGCTTTCATCCAGCTGATGCAGCTTTCTAAACTTTGTTTGCTCTGTAAGGAAATAGGATCTTCAATAGTCTGATTTTTAAAGAGCTGAGAAACTGTCAATGTATAGAAAAATGGGTGGCCGTTGGGAACATTAAGAACCTATACTTAGCAATCTGGGGCAGCTTTAATGTGCTTCATGAATCTTTCACGGGGCTCATTAAAATGCAGATTATGATTCAGGGTAGGATGTGCATTTCTTATAAACTCATAACCACATTTGAGGACCCCATCTTTTGGTAAGTGTGTATTCACATGGACAGTGGTTGGTCAAAGTGCTCCACCTTGGAAAATGGAACATCACCATAGATTTCATGAGCCTATACTACTAGCCTCTTGATTAAGGGGCTGAATTGGGCATTAAAAAAGGCAGATGGATGGTTGGTCTTCTCATTACAACACTCGCTTGTAGATGTTTTGTTTGGGGTTTTGTTTTGATATATTCTTGAATTCTAAGCTGTCCTTAAGCTCTCCATCCTCATGACTATC